ACCATATTGTAAGAAAAGCACTGTTTAACGTCTGGATAAGATATAAGGATTTGTTAGAAAATAAAACCCCAAGATGGTTGTCACCAATGGAAGCAAAAACTCAATATGGAGGCCAAATGGCCGAAGTATTGGGAAATTTTGGAACAAAAGGGTGACAGATTTAAATTGCAGAGCTTTGAAAAATTAAAAAACAGAGTACGGGATTGGCTCCATTATTACCAAATAATGGAGGCATATAACTTGGATAAAAAACTAGGCTTCCAGGTGGAAAAATCAAAGTTGGAGACAGAATTGTTAGACCCTAAAGTTAAGAATCTGTCAAGTATGTATAACTTGCTGTTGAAATGGAATACTCAAGATGAAATGGTGAAATCTGCTATGATGAAATGGGCACAAGATGTTGGACATAATATTATGATGGCCGACTGGGAGCAGTTATGGACCACTGGCATGAAGTTTACGGCATGTAATGCCTTAAAAGAGAATTTAATGAAAATGATTTATAGGTGGTACATAACACCAGTCAAGCTTGCAAAAATCTATCATTTGCCCGATAATAAATGTTGGAAATGTAATGAAACCGAAGGTACATTCTTTCACCTTTGGTGGACATGCCCAAAGATTAAGGCATTCTGGGAGATGATCTATAATGAAATGAAAAAGGTATTTAAATATACCTTCCTGAAGAAACCAGAGGCCTTTCTCCTGGGCATGGTCGGCCAATTGGTGCCAAAGAAGGATAGAACTTTCTTTATGTACGCTACAACAGCAGCAAGAATACTTATTGCAAAGTATTGGAAGACACAAGATCTACCCACCACAGAAGAGTGGCAGATGAAGCTGATGGACTACATGGAACTGGCGGAAATGACTGGCAGAATCCGAGACCAGGGAGAAGAGTCGGTGGAAGAAGATTGGAAAAAATTTAAAGCATACTTACAGAAACATTGTAAAATTAATGAGTGTTAGAAGGATGCTGGAATGAAGCTATATGGTTTTAGTAGAAATGCAACAAAGAATTAAGTAAAAGCTGATTCATAATGGGTTAATATGAAAAAATTTAAGGTTACACCGTTAAGATAAATTATAGAATAAAAATTGAGAAAGATGGGAAGAACTTGCTGAAATAGTGAATTGAACTAGAATACAAAAAAAGGGAGGTGTGAGGAGGTCGATGAAACAAGTAAAGGAAAGGTAAAGATATGGAATGTTGGGTGTAGTGAAGGGTTAACCTTCTGTGTCTCGAGGCTGAGAGGAGGCGCTTACAAGGGAAGTAAGCCAGGACGTGACGAAAGCAGCTTGGAATGCTGTGAGCTGAGTGGAAAAGTGAAAGCAGCTTAGTTACGCAGCTGCACACTGAGAGAAGGACGCAAAATGCAACTTCAATCTGATGGTGTTTCCTGTTTGTAAATATGCTACTTTTGAGCAAATAAAGTGCTATTAGGAAAGAAGAAACGTGTGGGACTGTTTTACTGCCCTTTCATACACGGACGCTGTGCAATTCTGCTAATTGCTTTACGACCTGCAGAGGAGTGCAGGGGAGCGTGCCAGACGCCAAGAATAAAGCAATAAATCTACCTTAACATGGTTATGGGTCAACGTGAAGCGTGTGAGGAAGGGCTTTGAAGCTTTATCCGCTGATCGTCAGCTTGATCGACTGCCGGAGACTTCAAAGGGGCAGATCGGAGGAGGCTGACGGAGAGGGAGCCAAGAGCCATAACGTCCGGAGTTTCCAGTTTGGCTGAGTGAGTACCTTTTGGGAAAAGTCAACAGAAGGGAGGCAATGGCTCAGCCCTGTGAGCATGGCTTTGAGTTTAAACTGCCATGTCAGAAACTGACTAGCCAAAATTGGCTGCAGTGGAGCTTTCAAGTGGAGCTTTTGCTGGTGGGGGAGCAGCTGTGGAATGTAATTCAACCCACACAGAATGCAGCTGGGAAAGCAGAGGCTAATAGGGCTGCAGAGCAAAGTGAAGTGGAGAAGCGTGTGCTTGCTTTTTTTGGCAGAAAGTGTGGATGCTCATCTGGTGCCTGTTGTCCTGGGTGCAAGAAAGCCAGAGGCTGCTTGGCTAGCACTCCAAGAAGCTTGTGGAGCTGGAGTGGGAAGCAAGGGCCGAGAGTGGCTGCATCCGAAAGGGAGAGGCAAGATGGCGCCGGCCACATTCTTGAGTGCCGATACACAGCTGGGAGTAGCTGGGAGCCCCCACAGGGGGGCGAAGGGACTGTTGCTGTTGCTGTTGTTGTTGCTAGCAATGCTGCTTGTGCTTTTGCTGAGCCTGGGAGCTGTGTGGATGCTGCAACGTGTCTGTGTGAGAAACCCATCAGAGGGGGTGCAGAAAAACGTTCTGGAGACCCCGTGAGCAGTGAGGGGGCAGTGAGCAGTGAAAGCTCAGAGACGCCTCTTTCTCCAAAAGCTGCCAAGAGTTGTTTACGTCGTGAGTCGGAGCCTGGGAAGCTGAAAAGAGCTAAAGGCTTCAAGGTCAGCCACCTGCAGCAAGTAGAGATAAGAGCTTCAGAGTTGTGTGGGAACGCCGAGACAAGTCCAGTCTCCATGGCAACTGAGAGAGTTGCATGTACGGAAGCTATGAAGGTCGTGGGCAAGTCTTCCTGCCGGGGGGAGTCTGTTGCCGTGACAACCAGAGAGGACATCTGCAGAAGCCCCAAGGAGGGGGGTAGTGAGGAGATTGTTGCCCTGGCGACCCAGGAATGTAAACAACAAGACTTTCTCACTGTAATAATAGACTCTGGTGCCTCAAATTCGTTGGTGCCATCTCCTGATCTTTTGAGGAATTGCAGGACAGTAAAAACTGAGAAGTATGTTAAGTTTGCAGGTGGAAGCAGAAAAAGGCTAACAGAAACAGGACTGTTCTTCTGTCCTTTCCTAAAGCATGAAGTCAAAGCTTATGCAGTGCCCGGTTTAACTAACTGTTTGTTAAGTGTGCATGATCTATTGATCAATGATTTTCAAATTTCTTTTGCAGGTGACAAATGTGAATTTTCCAAGGATGGGAAACACGTGTACACAGTGCAGTCTAAAGATAATTTGTTTTCTGTAAATGTGCCTTTTTCCACAGGAGAGGATGACACCGAAGATGCGAAGGGCCAATGTGTGAATTTAGCACCCCACAATGGTTGTTTACATATTTGGCACAGACGCTTCGCTCATTTGAATTGGAAATCTCTCCAAAAAGCACCAGAGCTGACACAAGGGTGCAAATTTAATGTTTGTGACAAATTTCTAGATTGCAATGCATGTAAACAGGCGAAAGTTGTGACATGCTCATATCCAAAGTCAGAGAGGCAGACCACACAACCCTTTGAATTAATTCATTCAGATTTGTGTGGACCCATGTCTGTTGAGTCACTGGGAGGTTCGAGGTATTCTTTGCTTTTGATTGATGATTTTTCGAGGTCTGCTTGGACCTTCTCTCTGAAAATGAAAGGGGAGGCGGCTAAAATGATCAGGGATTGGATCACCACAGTTGAGGTAACATTTTCCACCAAAGTTCGTGGTTTTCAAAGTGACAGAGGTTGTGAATTCACTGGTTCTGCTTTACAGGATTTCTTTAGGGAGAAGGGGATTAGCCACAGACTGACCGCTCCTTACTCTCCGCAACAGAATGGGCTGGCAGAGAGAAAGAACAGGACGGTGCAGGAAGCTGTGTCTGCGATCCTGTGGGGCGCAGGGCTACCCCAGAAATATTGGTCGGAGGCTTGGCGATATGTGGTCCATACCGAGAACAGAGTGTACAACTCTAGTGTAGGAAATACACCGTATTTCTTACTTCATGGAGATAAGCCTAAGGTACACTACCTTCGTGTGTTTGGTTGTGAGGCTTGGGTGCTTATTCCAAAGGCTCTACGCAAGAAAGGTGAGCCAAGATCTAAAAGGATGATCTTTGTAGGGTATGAGCCTGGCTCAAAGGCCTGGCGGTTTGCGTACCCAAGTGGAGACCAGTCTAGGTTGGTTATCAGCAATAGCGCTGAGTTCTGTGAGCAAGCTGGTTGGAGACGTCTGCACGCCAATCCAGACGTGCTTCCACAGCAGTTCTATGACTCAGATGTTGAGGAGGAAGAGGAACTTGTTGCTGGGGACCACGGTCCAGAGGGACAGAGTCCAAGGCAGGGACAGCTCAGGATCCCTCAGAGGGGGGAACCTAGAACACCTCCTCAGGCAAGTGTCAAGTTTGAGCCAAAGAGTGAGCCTTCTTCACCTGCTGGACCAGCTGTAAGGCCCAAGAGGCGCAGCAGGTCAGAGGGGGAAAACACTGAAACTGAGGATGATTTAGCTGGACCCAGTGAAGCGGCAGGGTCACCAGGATTCACACTGAGGAGATCAGCGAGGACAAGGAGGCCTCCTGATCGGTACGGCGCTTCAGGCGTCTGGGTAGGTTCTGCAAGATGTGAACCTGAATCCTTTGAGGATATTCAGAGTTTACCTGAGGAAGAAGCAGGCAAGTGGCACAGGGCAATGGACAAAGAGATGAAGTCCATGAAAGATCTAGGTGTGTTCTCACTCACAGAGTTGCCACCGGGGAAGCAGGCTGTGAGTTCCAGGTGGGTTTACCGTTTGAAACCCACTGGCGCAGGAGAGCCACAGTATAAAGCCAGATTAGTTGCTCGAGGATTTACTCAGAAGAAGGGAATACACTTCACGGAGGTGTATTCGCCAACGTCACGAGCGGAGACTCTGAGAACGCTTTTAGCTTGTGCAGCACAGAGAGGCTGGAAGGTAAACCACTTTGATGTGGATGTTGCCTACCTTAACTCAGATCTCCAGGAGGAGCTGTACATGATTCCTCCTCCGGGGTTTGAAAACTCAAGGCAGGATGTTGTGTGGAGATTGCACAAATCCATCTATGGATTACGTCAATCTGCTAGAAACTGGAACATGTGCCTGAATGAAGCTTTGGAGAAGCTAGGTTTCAGGAAGAGTCTTGCTGACAGTTGCCTGTTCCTTAGAGGATCAGGAGACTCACAGGAGCTGGTGATGATTTTTGTTGATGACGTGCTTTTCTTCTCAGAAACAGATGAACAGGCAGAGAAGTTTGCCAAAGAGCTAGGTAAACGATTCAAGCTTAAACAGCTTGGTGCTGTCAAAACCTATCTAGGTGTCAATGTTGAGCGTGCACAGGATGGAAGTTTTTTGCTCAGCCAGAGAGGTAAAATTGAGCAGTTGCTTCAGAAGTTCAGGATGAGTGATTGTGCAGGAGTGAGAAATCCTATGGAGACTAGTTTTGTGAAGTACAGCCAGCAAGTAGAACGCGCTGCGTTCGAAAATACTGAAGTGTTTCAGTCAGCCCTAGGGAGTTTGTTGTACTTGTCCCAGTGGAGCAGACCCGATATAGCGTTTGCTGTCAATCTGCTCAGCAGGGAGGCATCAAACCCTAGTGTGCAAGCCTGGAATGGCATCAAGAGAATTCTGAGGTATTTGCAGGAGACCAAAGACTTTTGTCTTAGGTTGCCAGCACAAGGAGAAGTCAAACTGACTTGCTTTGTGGACTCGGATTGGGCTAATCTTGAGGATCGCAAGTCTGTGTCTGGCCTAGTGGTGAAGTTTGGGAACTCAGTAGTTGGATGGAGGTCCAAGAAGCAAAGTCTTATAGCGCTCTCATCCACTGAGGCTGAGTTTAGTGCTCTTTCAGAGATGTGCAGAGAAGTAGAGTTCTATGCTTGTTTGGTGCAGGAACTCTGCGAAGTGGATTGTCTGCCGATACGTGTTTTCGAGGACAATCAACCATGCCTGCGTTTGGCAGAGTCAGGTCAGTTCAAGGCCAGAACTAAACACCTAGACATTCGCTTTGGAATGTGTGCCAGAGTGTTCAGGAGGGATTAGTTGCGCTGAAGTATTGTCCCTCTGCCAAGAACCTAGCTGATGGGTTCACAAAGCCACTCACCTTCCAAAGACATGGAGAGTTTTGCGAAGGTCTGGGTTTGGGACGACCAAGGGTCGATTCTCCTCTCAGGCGCGAGACAAGAGGGGGTGTTGGGTGTAGTGAAGGGTTAACCTTCTGTGTCTCGAGGCTGAGAGGAGGCGCTTACAAGGGAAGTAAGCCAGGACGTGACGAAAGCAGCTTGGAATGCTGTGAGCTGAGTGGAAAAGTGAAAGCAGCTTAGTTACGCAGCTGCACACTGAGAGAAGGACGCAAAATGCAACTTCAATCTGATGGTGTTTCCTGTTTGTAAATATGCTACTTTTGAGCAAATAAAGTGCTATTAGGAAAGAAGAAACGTGTGGGACTGTTTTACTGCCCTTTCATACACGGACGCTGTGCAATTCTGCTAATTGCTTTACGACCTGCAGAGGAGTGCAGGGGAGCGTGCCGGACGCCAAGAATAAAGCAATAAATCTACCTTAACATGGAATATTGGATGTCTGTTTTAGTTTTTTCTTTGTTTTTCTTTTTTGTTGTATTGTTGTATTGCTTTTATATGTTTTTTTTATTATTTTTCTCTCTTTTTTATTGTTTTTTTTCTTTTTTCTGTAATTTTTAAACTTTTAATAAATATCATTTAAATATATATATATATAGAAACCACATGTCTGGAGCAGCACAGGAATACAGTCCTGAAACCATGTTGACTCCCAAACTGACCAAATGTTTCTCTCCAAGGAGGGAGAGGGAACCTTCCCATTGTCCCAGGAATTAAGTGATTACCATCTCAGAGGACTGGCCAGGTTCCCCAGGTAATCCAATCAAGTGACCATTAACAGGTAACCTGCCAGACAGGAGATAAACAACGCACTCAGATTTCTGTTGTAGACCGCCTGCCAGTAGGGAACCCACTTAAGGACTCTATACGGGCTCTTGCATACCCCATAAGGGACGAAGGGCAGATTTGGTTTACAACAGAGGGCAGTGTGAGAAAAGCATATCGGACCACCAAGGTCTTTGGTTGGACCTCCCAATGTCAGCTGCTGGCTGGGCCGCTGGCTTCCAGCTCATGCACAGACCGCTGGGGTGAACAGATGGGGCGGGTTGTTCCCACTCCAAACTAAGTTTTTTTTTTAAAAAAATTCTCATTAAAGAATTCTATATATATCTACTTTTCCATCCCCACTTTCCCCCACTTTTTCTATTTACTTATTACAATGGTGTTTTTCCCCCTTCTCTTTTCTGAACAAACAAACAAGCAAACAAACCATTTTCAGTAGGATTTTTTGTGTTTTCTTTTTCTTTCTTTCTTCTTTTTCTCTCTATCTCTTTTCTCTCTTCCTTATCTTTTCTTTTCCATCTTGTCTTTTGTCCCACACTATAACTTGAAGCACCACAGCGACTTTTGATTTTTAAATAGAATTCCATCAGCCTTTACATTTTTAACTTTGGACTCTTATCTGCAAACTCCCAACCCCACCTCCCCACCTTAACACTGGGAGGGCCGTGTCCCCGGAATTTGTGAAGACAGGATTCTCAAAAATACCTCTTCCTTCCGGATCCTGGAGTATTGCTGGCAACGGCTGGAGTTTTTCTTCAAGCTCCTGGACCTTCATACGCAATGCTTGATCATCCTTAAGTACTGTTTCCTCCCCGTCTTAGGGCTATTGGGCGCCTTCTTCAGTATTTCAACATCCTGGAGAGGACAGACACTTCCTGCTAGACATTTACTCCAGACATTTACAGAAGGCACAGAGGCACTGGTTGAAGAAGTTGGGAATGAGCAGACAGTGCTATTGCTGAGAAAGAGCTCCACCGCAGGGTGCTAAAGAGCTCTTTCCCTAGCCTGCAGGTGCCAGAAGGCCAAGCGCTGGTGTTGCAGTGGTGGTACTTCAGAGGAGTAGGAGAAAAGGCTGCTCTGGATTCTGGGTATATAAATGGCCTTGCCTGAAGCTGTGGCTTGTGCTCTGCATTAGCAGAGAGGCTCTACTTAGTTGCAAATGAAGCACATTTCAGTTATTATAGAAACCGGTGTTTCCATGCATGCTTGTTCAGGAACTCTGTGAACTAGACAGCCGCTGTTTTAAACTGGCCCTTTTTCTGGCAGGTTAAATGATTAAAGTTGACTTGATTAACTTCATCCGCCAACTACCCTTCTAAGCAACCAGAGGAATTACAAATAAAAGGATCTCCAACCGTGCGCTATCCCTATCTGCAAGCAAGCTCTCCCACAAAGTGGGGGGGGGGACAGGGGATCCCCGCTGCTGTGCTTTGCCTCAACGCCCCAAAGACAAGCCGTCCAGCTGGAGAAAAGGGGGGGGTGTACGCCACAGGAACGGCCAAGAACGCTGTTTTTTGCTCAGCAATGAGGCATTAAAGCAGACATTTCCAACAAACATTTGGTATGTTTTCATGTATTCTAAATAACTTCTCGGGAGTTAGATACCAACAATACTTAAATATATATATATTTAAAAGTCTATTTTAAGTCATAACTCAATGTATATTTTAACTCTTTAGTCCACATATGTTCCCACTATTCCAACTGTACAATATAACCAAAAAAAGAGAGAATCTTGCCCCTTTAATCATGCACTTTTTAATCTGTTCCTCTTCCATTTAGGATTTCAACAAAAGTTTGTACATTTTTGATATCACATGATGTGCACAATTGTATCTCAAAACCCGTCTTCCACTCTTCCATACCCCAAGTCTTCATTTCCAACTAGAATCTCTCAATCAATCAATCAATCAATCAATCATTTATTTATTTGTATGTTGCCTTTCCAAATTTCAAACCATGTGCAAGGCAGCTTACAAAAAAAATAAAATATTCCATAACTGCAAACATAACAAAACTAATCGTAAACAATGAACAAAATATCAAAAAGTACACAACGAAATTGAAAAAAAATCCACAAAAATAATAAGATTCCACGTGAATCATATAATCCAAACTAAAGAGATAAAAAATTATCATCAGCAACAGCAACACCCCCCCAGAAAAAGAACCCATAAACAACACCCCAACCCTCTTTTATTAAGTGTAAAAGAGAAACCCCTTGTTTAAATTTTACAATCTCCCCTTTTCCACTTTAAGTACTCTCAATAGATTAACCATTTCTCTTTATCCGTCACCCTTTTGTCTATAAAAAGTGTCTTCTGGTGAAACCCAAAATAGAGTCTTTGTGTATAAACTAACTTTATATCTATTTTCAGATTCTTAATACGCCACGCACGTCTAATACAGTGGTTCTCAAGGTGTGCATTTACTCTGACTTGATCTACCACAAATATCCAAGCCATCTAACCCTAAAATCCTAACCTTCTAATGCCAAGTCTCTTCTTTCTCAATATCCCCATTCCGTTAACCGCACCAAGCAACAAGCTGTAAAATACAAGTTTAAAACGCAAGCTTTCCTTTGCATCTTGCAGAACTTTAAATGTAATTCGTGAGTTTTTTCACCTGTCCTCCAAACTTTGGCCTTTTTGCCATCCTTTAAACGGGAAATTGGTAGCCGAGCCATACTTTTTGGTAAAACGTTTGTCTGGATCCCGGAAGTCCTACCTGAGAAGAACAATGGGAGTGTCCGCTAGCGCCAGCCACTTCTCCTTCTGTAAGCAGCGCCACCCGAATTCCCACCTGGGATGAGCCGCTAAACTGAGTCGCCGGAGAAAGACTGGGGTGGGCGGCAAATGGGAGGCAGAAGTCGTGCGCTTCTGTCCCGTCAGAAAAGTGCTGCTCCTCCCAGGAGGTTCCCGTCTCCGCTCCGCCACATGCAGCTGCTGGGTGACCTTGGGCCAGTCACACTTCTGTGAAGTCTCTCAGCCCCACTCACCTCACAGAGTGTTTGTTGGGGGGGAGGAAGGGAAAGGAGAATGTTAGCCGCTTTGAGACTCCTGAAGGGGAGTGAAAGGCGGGATATCAAATCTAAACTCTTCTTCATCTTCTTCTGGGCTGCCTCAAAGCCCATCAAGACCACAGGCTGCTAGCATGACTCATCCTGGCTTTATCAGCTGAGGGGAAAGAGTGCGTGGTCTTAAATGCTGGCCTTGGCAACTTGGCTGAGCTACCTTGGGCCAGTTCTTGGGCCAGTCCTTGGGCCAGCTTAGCCTCCCTCACAGAGGGTTGTTCTGAAGATACACTCAGGAAAACACCCGAGGCATGAAGAAGAAGAACGAGGAGAGTGGGGTCTGGAAAGGGGGGTGGGGAGCGGTCTCACCCCAGCCGCTCCAGGATGGGAAGTGCGTCCCAGGGGAAGCGGGATTCAGGCGGAGGAGGACATCGGGTTGGGTGGGGCTTGCCAGGAGCAGCACGATGTCCCTCGAACCCCCGGCTTCCACTCTCCAGGCA